GGTGCATGTATGAAACCAGCAGCAACATTTGACGGCAAGGTCTCAGCTCTGACGTTTTTTGAGCAATTGAACCTACATTTCACCTTGCATCCCGTGAATCAGCTGCAAAAGGTGACCATGGCTACTACAGGCTTAAAACGTCAAGCCCGCAGCTGGTATAAGGGCATAGGGAAGTTCTTGTTGGGAGACCCAGGATCGGAATTGTATAGCTGGGAAAATTTTAAATCTGCATTACTAAAAGCATTTCCAGTTGTTAAGGATCGTGCAAAGCTAGAATCAGAATTGTATAGTAAATACCAAGGCAGTTTCGAGGATTTGACGGAGTTCATTTTAAGAAAAATTAATATTTTAAATTTATTATACGGAAAAAGGTCCGATAATGAACTTATTGAGGTAATTCTACCGTCAACGCAAGATTTCCTCGAAGTCCGTAACCCGCAAACGCTAGAAGTTCTATTCCAGCTTGCAGTGAAATTCCAAAGTAGAAGAAACTTGGAGAAAGCGTGTGCAAGTCAGTTTGGCCAACACTCAAGATTTACTTGTCAAAAGAAACCGCAAGTTCAGTACAAGGCGTATGGGCAGACAGGAAAAAGTGAAAAGTTCAATAACAAGAGCGCAGATAAATCTAAGGGTGGTGGATATAAAAATCAGTGAAAAGAGGCGGCAGGTAACCAGAATTTAAACGCAAACCGGTGATCGAGAAGGGGCAACGGTCACCGAATGGGAAGGAAGACCCCTCAGAAATTCATTTAAATACAGTGGTGGTGCAAAATCTAGCTATGCCGGAGATACAGATTCTGGTAAATAATGTACCAATCACTGCACTCCTGGACACAGGAGCACAATGTTCATTCCTTTCAGAAGATTTTTTTAGAAAGCATTTTCGTTGTTACAGACTGTTTAAAGCCACGGGACAAAAAGTAATTGCCGCCCAAGGCAAACAGTGCATATGTTTGGGTAAAACCGCACTGCATGTTCAGATTACAAACGAGGTGTCAAAAGTTAATTTTCTAGTCCTGAAAAATTTACTCATGTACGTTATATTGGGGGGTCTATTTTATGTGCATCCGGCACAAATCTTAATTTTCAGAATTCTACGTTTCAGGTGCACATGGACCCTGTAGTAGAAGATGAAGTTTCCATGCCGGAATTGCACTTAGACCATCTAAATCTAAAGCTTGAAGAGAAAAAAGAAGATTGAAGGACTGGTAAGAAAATTTAATTCTTTGTTTAATGACAAACCTGGTTTTTGTCAGGTATTTAACCATTCTATTGACACTGGGAATGCCCCTCCAGTCCGGTGGAAGCCCTACAGATATGATAAAACGAAAGAAGCAATTATTGAAAAGCATATTGAAAAAATGTTAGAAAACAACTGTGACAAGCACGAGTTCGTACGCAAGTCCGGTGGTCCTTTGTAAAAAAAAAAGAACGGGCTACCACCTGAGCACCCGGACACATATAGGTTTGCAATTGATTATCGTAAGTTAAACAGCATAACAAAATATCCCATGTATACCCTACTAATAATTGACGAAATAATTAGAAAAATTCGCTCGACTAAGACAATGTTCCTTACAAAATCAGGCATCTATGCCTTCTTAAGAATGCTCTTTGGTTTAAATGGAGCGCCAGCTACTTTTCAGAAAGCTATGGACATAGTCTTGAAGCCAGTTTTAGGTAAAAGTACAATTATTTATTTGGACGATATCATAGTTACCAGCATTAGAGGAACATTTGAAACATTTGGAAGAAGTTTTTGGCTTACTTAGTGACGCCTGTTTGAAAATAAATGCAAGTTTGCGGCAAAGGAATTGCGATACCTTGGATACAAAATTTCTAATAAGGGCATAGAGAGTGATGATTCAAAAATTAAATCAATTAAAAGTTATCCTCCCCCAAATATGGCTAAGAAATTGTCTTCATTTTTGGGCTTATGTTCCTATTATAGAATGTTTATAAAGGACTTTGCGAAAATAGTTGAGCCTCTTCGAGCGCTAAAAAGAAAGAAAAGTAGATTTTCTTGGACAGCCGATGTGAAGACCGCTTTTGAACAACTAAAGAATGCCTTAATCAATGCCCCAGTCCTTAAATTCTCAGAAGGCGAACAAGGTCTAGAGATTTCAGCAGATGTATCCAATTATGCAGTTGGAGCTTTGCTATTCCAAAATGAGCAATCTATAGCTTTTTCTTCGAAAACATTGAATGCTACTCAGAGGAGCTATTCCGAGTTATTGAGCGAGAAACGCTCACTGTCTTATTAGGAGTTCAGAAATTTTGTGTCTACTTCGGAAGTTCATCGATAACAGTCTACTTAGATCATGCAGCAGTGGATCGCTTGTATTCAGGAATTTATCCCCTCGCTTGATACGGTAGACTTCAAAATTACAAGAGTTCAATTTAATCATAAAACACACTCCGGGAAAAAAAGAGTCGTCGCGCCTTTCATGAAAAAAATTGGAAGAGGAAACACAATCAAGTGTGCTACGCTCACCTCTAGAGTTATCGAGTCTTGTGAAACAATAGTTGAAGAATTGAAACAGGACCCAGAATTTAAAGATATTTACGCATACCTGGAAGACCCTGAAATGTTTGAGCATATAGATTTAATGGCTATTCTCAATAGGGCACACAATAGCACAGAAATAATCGACAAATTTTTTTTTATACAAAGGTAACAAATGAAAATCAGGAATACCGACCAGTGATCCAAGCGAGTCTACGATTAAGCATCTTTAGAGGAGTTGCACGATCTACCATCTGCTGGACATTTTGGAATACGAAAAACACTAAAAAGGATATGCGAAGCGGTTTATTTTCCGCAGTTAGAGAGTTGTTACGGTGTATGTTAAGTCGTGTCGTATGTGCCAGTTAATAAACGATGTTAATTACAGCCCGGCCGGGTATTTAAAAAACATAAAGACCACTTTTCCAAATGAAATAGTTGGCATAGATTTGCCTGGACCCTACCCTAGGACAAAAATAAATAAAAAGTGATACAGTCAAAAGTCTTTAATCCGGACTCGTCAGGACTTCAGCGATTCCGGATTATAGATCATCAGTTTAAATCTGGTAAGATGGCATGCGAAATTATAAAATTAAAATAAAACCGTAATTTATAAAATAATGAGCAATTATGATCTAAGGGTATCAAATTTATTAAAAAAAAAAAAAGCTTAATATTTATTTGTTACTTTATTAACATTTCTTTCAACACAAGCGTAAAGCATACATTACACGCATACTCGAAATTAGAAAATTGCAACCAGAAAACTATTGATGTGTATTCGTGATATTTATAATGACCAGGAATTCATTAAAAAATATCAAGACGGAGTACATCGAATGAAATACTACATTTAGTAAGGAATTATAAGCCAATAAAATAAAAACATCTGTCCTGAAGATAAAGTGCTGACAGATCAACTTCCAGTTCAATTTGCGCGCTCGCGGCATCCTCCCCCCCCCCCCCCGTCACAGAGCAGCATAAATTGTAACTTTTGATTGGTAAGAATCAAAGGATATGCCTTTATCCATTTTTTGCAAAATTCCACTTTTGTTTGATGGATCGAACATGCTTCGCTTTGTAGATTCTTTGGTAGCTCCAGAATCGGAAATTCTTTTTGACATAATCGAAAGTTCAAGCTTACTTTTATAAAATTGCTCTAACAGTCTGCAAAAAGTAATAAGCCATTGTAATAAGTAATAAGATTAAGGAACAACGCAATCCACAACATTAACTGAAATAGAAAATTAGATAATTTTACCTTAGCTTATAGCATCCGTTATACATTAAATGCGCATGTGTAAACGTATTACGCGTATGCGTAACCGCACATGGGCTTGCGTAAAGGTACTATGCGCATGCGTCAACGCATGTGCAGAAAGTTTGTAGCTTTGGGGTCCAGATTATAGATCATTCCGGATTATGGACGTCCAGATTAAAGACATTTGACTGTATCTATTAACAATCGTTGACCATTTTTCAAAATGGGTAGACTCTTAAACGAGCTTCAGCTAAAATAGTCGCAGATTCGTTCTTAAATATATTTTAAAATACGGGGCCCCACTAAAAGTAATATCGGATAACAGAAAACAGTTTGTTAGCAGTATATTTAAAAATTTGTGCACAGGACTTGGCATACGCCATCTAAAATTGGTACCATATAGACCGCAGTCGAATATAGCGGAACGTGTAAATAAGAATATTGTAAAAATTATCAGGGGATATGTGAAAAATTTTCATGACCACTGCGACAGCTGTGTCAATGAGTTAGGTTTTGCCTTGAGAACCACAAAGCATAATACTATGCAGAAAAAACCCGCGGAGTTATTTTTTGGAAGAAAATTCCTAACGCCTTTGGATAAGCTGTTCTTTGTACTACAAAGACAAGAAGAATTCAAGTTAAAAGACATTGAGAAAATTATCGACGAAGTAATTAAAAGCTCTGATATAGCAAGACAAAAGAAAAAAGTCTATTATGATAGAAATAAAAGGGAATTGGAATATAAAGTGGGACAAAAAGTTCTTAAGTTGAAATATTCCTTATCATCTGCACCCGAAAACAGAGTTGCGAAGTTTGAGCCCAGGTTTGAAGTTCCGTACATGGTGGAAAGAATAAGAGAAGCCACGTTCTATTTAAAGGCCAAAAATGGCCACAAACTGGTTGCAAATATTGACCAGATCAAACCGTACTACAGCCGTAATGATTTTAAAGTATTACAAGATCCTGTGAGGAGAGCGAGGAGAGAAGCTCGCCAGCTCAAGAGCACAGCTGGGGCTAGATGTAAACCACAGTTTCCAGCAGCAACAACTACAAGGGAGGCCCAAGGAGGTCCAGGATAGAGAACGAAATGCCAGAAAAGACCTGTGGAGACAAACGCGCTTGACCAAGAAGTTAGAAGGGCTAAGAGAAGATTCAAAGACCCTGAAAGACGGATATCCCCAATGGAGCTAAAAAGGAAATTGGCATTCCAGAACACGCAACCTTCCCAGATTTCTACACAAGAGGCAGAAAATGAAAAGGTCGGAAGCGAATGGTGCGGAACATCAAAGTTCGAGAAGAAGGTTGGAGGTCATCAGGTTCCCAACGTTTGAGCAATTCTGTCACATAGGAATGCAGGAATACAGAAAAAGATAAGTAAAAATTTCTTTGCTTATTTTTCCTTGAAGTTCAAATTATATCATCTTGTTCTAAGTTGCTAAAGATGTTTAGAAAAGTTAAATCGCAGATAGCGAAAGATTGACTGTAAATGTTTGCAGTTATAGATTTTTATGTTAGCAATTGGGCGAGAAACTACTAGCATTACCGTATTTGACGGCATACAAGACGCACTTTTTTTTCCTAAATTTGGTCTCAAAAAAAGTTACCTCCATCTTATACGTGAAGGACACAGGTTAACTTTCAATACTGAATGCTATTTTTAGCCCGGATAAAGGTCTAGACAAACTTTTTCTACATCTACATGTGTGTGGCCTTCTAAATAAGGGTGCGTCTTATATGCCGTCAAATACGGTACTTTTGTTAAGAACTTGCAAGTTGCAAGAAGTAAATTGTGAATAAGTTTAGTTGAAAGACTCGTTGAATACTAAAATCTGTTATCTTAAAGTTAAGATTTCATGTAAAAATTGGTAAATTGTAACTAAGCAACTATGACTGTTGATGTTAAGTGAATTTAAAAGTGATGTGTAAATATTTAAATGTTCATGTTAAAGTAGAAATGTTTAACCTTTGTGTTAAAGTGTCATAAATTTAAACTTTTACATGAGATAAATGTTGGCCTCCATGTAAATGAATTTGTGAAAGAATTGAATGTTATTATATATGTGTCTGTTTAATGTTCTCTCCAGTTAACACCTTTAAAAGTAAATATAAGCTATCGCTTACTACATTAGGAAAGAGTTTTCGTGTAGGGAGTTTTGTAAGGTCTACAGTGTCGAGTTTAACAAAGTTAGATGTTGTGTAGCGGTAGTTTTGTTCGCGGTAACAGAACATAAAAGATCCTGAGTACATTTGCTGGAGAACATGGGGGAAATAAAACTGTAGTATGAAAGAAAGTGCATGAGGGTCAAATGAGGAAATAAAAGCGCAATTTCAGGATTTATAGAAAAGCTTTGTAAAATTCCTTACTAATGACATTTTCTTCCAGATATGGAAGGATCAAGACCTGACATAGTTGTAACTGAACAAAGTGTCCATTCAAGAAGATGTATATCCAAAACAGAGGAATTGTTGTAAAATTTTATTTTTCCTAGCTTTAGTCTAGCTTTTATAATTGTTGTAAAGTTGGCCCTAAAATCAGAACTTTAAAGCGATTTAGTTAATTCAAAAGTATGAAGTGTGTAGTTGGCGTAAAAAGTTTTTCAGACTTTAAAATCTTAAAACAACGTCGTTTTGAGACCTTATTTTTCGAGTATTTCAAGTCTGGTCAGAAGCTATGTAAGGATTACGTTAATTTTATTAACAGTTAAATTTTAAGTTAAAAGTTCCTTTCCTGTCAAATTCTTAACTTCAACTTACTACTTACGGCCAGAACGTAGTTTTAGAATCCCGTCTAAATACATAATGAGAAAGAGCGATATTTAACCGCGAAGTTCTTTGGTCTTATAGGGAGAGAGAATCAGAGTCTCTGATTTACGCGCGTCTGCCTTTTTGGTCCCTCTCTCTCTCTCAAAGCTGCTATTACGCTTGGCCGTACTCAGGCCCTTGTTAAGCTTCGTAGTCAAATAAGTGAAGAGGCCAACTCGATTTGAATCTTGATAGCTTCGGCTATATTTCTTTAGTTAATCTTAGCTTTAGTTTAATTCTAGTTTTTTTAAGTTTAAGCCCAAGTGTCGGCTTTGAAAGTCACTCCAGACGGAGTTTTGTTAATTTCTTATTAATAAAAGGGTTAGTTACCCTTCTCATCGTCTTGTTTCTTGTCACACGAACTTAAGCGATTATTCGCTAACTAGTTCTTAAGATTCGTCATTTTCTTCAGTAACTGAGAATTACATTAGTGAAAATCTTACAGTTTAATGAAACAAATAAATAAATATTGAGCTTCTTTTGGAAATTTTAATTGTCATGCGGTCATAAATGCTTCATTATTTCACTAACAACTATTTCATATTTTTTGCAGTGTGAATGAAACTCAATGTCATTATGAACAAAATAGAGTTAAATAAAAAAAAAAAAATCGCCTAATAATAGCACTACAATAGATGAAAGCACTACAATAAATCAGTTTTACATACAGACCATATTTTAAGACAAGACTGGGCCTATCAACCTTTTCCTTGATGTATTAGAAATTAAATGTCACTGTAAAAGGACTATTCAAGTTGTTAATGATTTATTTAAGGAACTTGGTTTTCATGACAATTTTTGAAAGAAAAATCTCTTGACAATTTTAACAGTTGAGCTGTGGTAATGCTTAGTTAAGATGAAGGTAGAGTTTTGTTAGATAACATACTACTACAGCCACTCAGTTGCAAATTATTTAATTTTGGGAAGTGATCCAAAATTTTGCATTAGCTTTGTGTATTGGTGTGTTTAGCTATACAAGAGCAGTCAGAAAAAATGGTCTTCCCAACACTTATAAACCACTTTATAAATCATTTATGATAAATCATATATCATCATATTCCCCAAAACACAATAAAATTAACAATACCTTGCAAAAGAGTTCAACAATTAAATTTTAAGTAGTGGATGAATTTAGGCACTAGACAAAATGCTTTCAGATTTACATATGTTTCTGCTGTTTGGCATACTTTTGAGAGTTTAGATCAGGGTTCAGCAAACTATGGCCCACCATTTGTTTCTAATCAGTCTGTGGGATGGTATTTTTTTGGGGGGGAGGGGTTGTTGTGAAAAATAAATAAAATTACACGGATGGGCCAATAAATTGAGCTGAAAAGTTAGGAATATGCTTACTAAAACTACTCTCCATGCAACATTCTCTCATCATGCACACCAAGTAAAAACTATTATTCTTTATTTGAATTCACAAAATCTAATATATACAAGCTCTGCAGCTACAATATCAAAGTACACATCAGCACTATGTCAAGAATTAGTGGCAGATACTGACCAGGAAATCTCAGCCAGTCTCAGCTTCATGGTGCTGCATATTCCATAGATGTGGGTTGGTAATTCTGAATGGTATATAGCAGAGAGGTCAGCAAATTATGGTTCTTCAGCCCAAGAGGTGATTTTTTTTTTACGACACATAAATCAAATTATGCACTATTATGCAACAGCCGATAATAGAGTTGGAAAGTAGTGGATAATGACCGCAAGTGGCGTTACTGTCATATTCTCTCATTTATGATTGCTAAGCACTTTCAATAGGCAAATGTTTGTGCATGGTGCACTGCATGAGCTTTTAAGGTTTTGCTACAATGATGAATTTAGTATCATCTGTCAAGGTAATTTGTGATATTTTGTTCTTTTCATTTTATTTTATTCATTACCTACCGCCAGCATGTCAGTCTCAAAATCAAATAAGAAGAGAAATGTAGACCTTGAATGTCCTAATTTTAAAGAACAATGAACTGCCCATTATTTTGTCAAAACTAAAATCAGTTTATAAATAATATCATTAGCCACAAAAGGAAAACCATTTACCAACGGCAAATGTATTAAATCATGTTTTCTTGTGGCAGCCGAAAAAATATACCCAGATAAAATAACTATGCTTTGATATGTCAGTCAGACACTTCCAAAGGTGTTTCGAAACATTCTTTTCCAGATCAGCCCAGCAGATAACATATGAAGTGATGCTTCATAGGACAGCTTTTGATTATGTATCCGATGGGGGGGGGGAATTTTTAAAGTTATACTTTTCTTATGTGTTCTACATTTTCAACACCTCTTTAATTGTTCTGTGTTATTTAGATTAGAAAAATAAATGTTCCTATAAATAAATATTTAGCTTGAACATGCTGATTTATAAATAGATCACTGGGTGTTAGTGGTAACTAATACTGTTTTTTCCCTTTGCATTTTTCCAGAATGTTCAGGGGTGAATTGTTTCACACTGCCGAAGAAGCATTAGAATATATGTTTCTAAGGAGATTGAGGCAGATATAATTGCTTTTACCACCTGATGTGGATGAGTTAACGTATGAAGAGTGCTTTGATAAAGATGCAATGATTACTCCATCGGTAAAAGATCTCTCACGTAATGTAGAAATTTGTTTACCCATGAAAGAAATAGAGGTAAAAGAACAATGTGAATCAAAAAAACATAAATGATTTTGGACCTAATATTACGAAGCAACTGCCATTTACATCTAACACCAGTAATGAAAATGAAAATTAAATTAGTTAGTTCAAAATTATCGAAAAAATGCTTGAAAAAATTAAAAATAGAGTCAAAGCAAATTGGTTGGTTGAAAGCTGGTTGAATTAAAAACACAAGGATTCAGAGCAACGGGCACAATTAGAACAACAGAACTTCTTGCCTGATAAGACATTAGCAAGAAAAATCATAGTGCTTATGACGACTCTTTCAACAAAAGGAACAAAATAACTATAGTTAAATGGAAGGATAACAAGTATGTAATAACAGCAACAAACTTTGATTACATACAGCCTCTAACCCATGGTTCAAGGCACGGAAAAGTTTTAAAAGAAAAATCCCAAATTTTGCAATCTAGTACTAAGTCTGATATGACAAAAATAGGCGTGGTGTCGACCAGCATGATTGGTTCTTAGAATAACAAACAATTCAAATCTGTGGCCAGAAATGGTACTGGCCAATATTTACAAGTTATTGACATGGTTGTTGTAAATACATATATTCTGTTCAATTTAACAAATTCTGAAAAGAAAAGTATAAAAGACATCCGAAGATATATCACTGTTGCGCACCCCAAACTGGGAACAAATTCTAAGAAAAGCATTGGAAGACATTTGGTGATGTCATCAAGATCAAAAGTAAGACTTAACAATACTGTATGTTTAGATAGAAAAAGTCATGTTATAGGTAAAAAACAAAACCAAAGAAGATACCAATTTCAAAAATGTAAGAGAAGATCTCTTATGTTTTGTACAAAATGCAATGTAACACTTTGTGTGAAATGTTTTCCACTGTATCACACTTAAAAATGTAACT